CAAAATGTTGGCAGATTTAAAGTATATCTTCTACTTTTGTCTTTCTCCAGCTTCTCTAAAAAAGTTTGTGCCTATTAATTGAATGACAAAAAGGCAAGTTGTTTATCTAAAATACTACCTTGATTCAGCATCCAAGAAAAATAGAGTGCAGATAAATATTTTGAATGGTAATCATGTCCAAGACATGCAAATGCACAAAGGTATATGCATAAGCAAAGTCAAAACAGGAAGTGAGAAAAGAAGCTATCTCCTACAACTGCTAACTATATTCAAGTATGCAAAACACAAAAAGAATGGCAAAATCATCAGAGCGGAATTCTGTACCATTAAATTATCACAACAGACAAATGATAATTTGAAAGAGTGAAACAGCATGTAGAATATTACAATCCAAGCACAGGGAAGAGATATCCAAGGTCTGGAAAAGTAGACTGCGTGCCTAATTTCTGCTAATGAAAATATTTCTATATTCATTTCCTATAATGCAGATCTTTTCCCTTTTTCCTGAGAACTGGTATAACTCATAGCCAAATTATGGCATATTTTTCTCTCATACATATCATTCATCCTCACAAGCTCTGATATGAAAATCTAACCAAAATAAAGACATTCCATCTTGAAAAAAAAAAAGTATATTATGTTTAGATAATAAAAGGCTTTACAATTCCTTCTGAAATATGGAAAATAGGATTGATTTTTAATTTTTTTAAAATGAAGGGCTCAAAGGATATTAATATACTAAAAGAATGTGGAAAACTGGGCACCGGAGTTGTTTTGGATGAAAGCAAAATCAATCTCACTTTTTAAGGATGACGGCCATTGCTAATTACAGGAACTGATATTTTCATGTAAAATCAATAAATCTACTAAATTAATTTAGTACTTTCCTGTTTAAGGAATGTTCATAAACTATTATTGATGAACCATTATATGATGCCATTCATTTTCAAAATTTTGAATTTAGTCAAGTGCAGGAGAGATAACAGTCTAAGGCACACTGATAAGTCCTTTTGCACCAATTCAGACTAATTAAGAATACTACCAGAACAATTAATTCTGACTGGCCCTAACTTCCTTGTTTCTCAAAAGCATGTGAGCTAGGGACTAGTCATAGATAAGAAATTTGTCAGACACTTTAATAGCTTCCATTCTTCTGAACGCCCCAAACACTATCTAACACCTCATGTTATCATCACTGAGGATTTCTTATTACATAAATGGAAGCACTTTTATCATATGGTAATGAAACACTAATTTGTGGTGACGTTACCTAGTTCTACACTGAATGCATCCAGTCCTGGAAAAGATCCCTGTCTCCTAGGCTACAGCAATCAATGTTCTCAATTAGGAGAAGATACATGGATGTGCAATTTCCTCCCAAACACATAAAACAAAGTTTTATGGAACTCACTCCCTGCGTTCCAGCATCCTTTTTTTTCCCCCTAAGCACAGAATTTCAAACAATATTTTCTATGTCATGAAAACTAAACAGTGATTATTTCATTTATGTTTCTGTTATATTTCAAATTCTTTACCACTAATTTATAAATCAATTCACAGGTATACATACATTTCCAGGAAAATATTACTAAAATTTCACCTGTCTTCACAACTTACATTTGTTAGTACAGATATACTAAGAAATGTATGCATAGTTGTGCATGTTTTTTTTTTTAATCAAACATTATCCTCCTTACAACAAAATAACTTTTAATGTGCCACAGACTCAGCTTCTAATCTATTCTGTCCATGCAAAAATACATGTTGTTTCTACATGTCAAGTTTAAAACTTCTACTATATTAGGCAAATATGAAAATACTTGCCACATAAAAATTAAGATACACTAATTAATACAGAGTATTAAGTCATTAATCAATTAATAGCTATTATGCAATGGAATTTTGAAAAGAATCTGCATTTTTCCCTGATGCAATTTAGCGTGAAAAAACATCCAGAATTTTTCACTGATTGCTGAGGATTTATTTTTCATCTGAAGCAAGACACTTAAATAAGTATCCTACTTTTTAGAGTTTTTATATCCTTTGTTGTTTCAGTAGTTCTCAATAGAACTGAA